TCTATTTCCAGACATACTAATTGGAAGATTAACAGGTGATTCTTCCCTTTCCTCAGATTCTGGATGAGCCAATCTTTCAGATCTTCTAGTTTGGCTATACATCTGCAGAGTTTAATGTTAATATTCAGGTATTCACATTCCCAAATATAATGAAGTATTCAAGTTCAGATGTGTACCTTTAAATTTATAATTACACTGGCCAGATGTAGTTAAAATTTACCTTACACACTGTTCTTTCAACTCATCATATTTATTTCCAATGGTCCTAACTATGTCCGGGACTGTTATCATGCAATAAAAATAGTTTAAGTCTAGGTATCATGCTTTGAATATCTAAATCTCTTAAACTCAGGCTCTGATACCGCTTCTGTAACGCCCCAAATCCATACATTGCATAGAGCACATATTTCATTACATAGAAACATGGATTACATCAAAAGTCCCACTAGTACAAGGATTACTATATGTACAAAATTGACATATAAAAATTTCCAAAACAAATCTTGTACTACCACATGTAATATAACATGCATCTTCAAAAGCAGACAATAGATTTAGGAAAATAATCACATTTTCCCTTTTACATCCCCGGACCCAGCTATTCCTGCACACATAATTTGAAAACACGAAAATGAGGGTTAGACCATACGGGTCTAGTGAGATTCCCTTATATGAAATACAAGGTGAAGCTCACCAAAACATTTATTTCAAATCAAACATCTTATGAAGCAAAACTGAAAACATACAGCTTTGGTCCATCGGACCTCTGGTCTCAAACAACATTTAGAAAAATTTCGACAACCAGGACCAGAGCCCCTCTGGTCTCTCTTCCAGAGCTTCTGGTCTTCACGACCAGAGCCTCTGGTTCTAAACCACACTTAGAAAATATTTCAACATCCTCGACCAGAGCCCCTCTGGTCTCTCTTCCAGAGCTTCTGGCTTTACGACCAGAGCCGCTGGTTTCAAACCATACTTGGAATATATTTCAACAATCAGGACCAGAGCCCCTCTGGTCCTTCTTCCAGAGCTTCTGGTCTTCATGACCAGAGCCTCTGGTTGAACTATCCAGTTTCTTAAAAACGATCTTCAATAAACTTTCAACCAATAAGATAGCCTTTTCCATAAAACGAGCAATTTATAAAAAGTTCATGTTCGACCAGAGCCTCTGGTTGTACTAACCAGAGCTTCTGGTTCCAAAGACATGACCAACCAGAGCGCCTCTGGTTCAACGCTTAACCAGAGCTTTTCTGGTCTGTTTTTCATAAAAAGATTCTAAGTATAAAACTCTTTTCTTAAAACATCTAAAATATGATTTTGACGTGAAAGCCCATAACAAACGATACAACACCTTTAATCCAATTAAAACCTTTAGTAAAAACTTGCCCATCCTTCAAATCAATAACCATAATCCTCTGGTCCAACGATGAGGACCAACCAGAGCCCCTCCGGTTCCTTACAAGGAACAACCAGAGCCCCTCTGGTTCCTCACGAAAATAACCATTCTGTTTCAAAACAATTTTAACCAATACCAATGGCCATAGGCCAAGTTTTCCCCTTCTCAATAACATCAATACCATTATTTCTAATAAGAACAATATCTTTGAGTTCTCAAATCACAAAGAAGTAAGG